GGCGTGGAACGTGCCATCTAATGGCGCGATCGAGGTGGGGCCCGTCATGGGCGCCGCCTCCTGGCCTGCGCTAACGGAGTCCACCAGGGCTTCGCCCAAATCGCCGCCCTCTGATTCGCTGAAATCGCTCTCCGATGGCCTAGTCCCTTCTTCTCCGGTGAGATCTCTTCATTAATCCGTTTTTTCTTGTTAAAAGTTTGAAGTCTAATTGAGATCACAAGATTTGATCCGAAAAAGTTTGGACCTTGGTTATATTCTGATGTCACAGGAGCCGTTAGTATCATCTCCTTCCGAAAAATCATCTCCAAACCCTAAAAGCCCTAATCAGATTCAAAACCCAATGCCTCCTTCCCGCCAGAAACCACTGAAAGTCGGCGAAAGAAGTAGCACTGTGACCCCGGCCAATGTTGGAGCCGGACCCACATTGCAGATTGCTCCTGAACATTCTCCTAGAGCCTCTAGGAGTGGTGGACCCACTCCACAACCTCGTGGTGGGGCCAATCATCATCGGGGCTTTGGTGGTAATAGGAGGGGGAATGCCGGTGGTGGGTCCCATAGCAACCATGGGAACTGGCACCATAGAAATGGCCAAGTGCACCGAGGAGGGATGAAGTCGTATCCGAGGCCGATGCAGCCTCTCTCTCCACCCTTTGCTGGTCCTCCTCCACCGTTTCAGCCTTTTGTTGGGAATGCCATGGGCTTCCCGGGTAAGTAAGTTGGCATACTTCTTTGGGTACTGATATTATCTCCTCATATATTGTGTTATTTCAATGTTGTACTGTTTGTTTTCAGAATACTTTGTGATGCCGCAGACGCCTCCATCTCTTGAGTCAGTTAGGGGCATGCCTTTTGTTTCGCATCCGATACCACATGCCATGTTTTTTCCGGCAATGGATCCGCAAAGTGCTATGTTATTGAAGCAGATAGATTATTATTTTAGGTTGATTTTTTGTGCGAGAACTGATAAATGATCGATCTGTTATTTGTTTTATTAAGTGTCTTTTTTAAATTTAAAAATGTAATTGTATTTTTGGTTGCAGTTCTGAAAACTTATGTAAAGATGTATACTTGCGGCAGAATATGGATGATGAGGGTTGGGTTCCTATATCCTTGATCGCTGGCTTCAACAAAGTGAGTTTTTTTGTTGGACTTTTTACGTTTGTGCTTGTACGAATTAATTTTATGATCTCTGTTTCGGCATGTTTTAGTTCATGGCAAGACAAATTCTTGGTGCAGTTACGGTGTTGTACGTTGTTTATTTAATTGGATTTCCAGCTTAACTTGTGGATTTCATATTTGATATTTGGTAATGGTACCTACATTTTGCAAACGTCTCTTGTCCAAGGTACACTTTTCTACATGAATGTAGCAGAAAATTATGCGAGATAACATCTGATATGGAACTACCTTGGGTTCCTCTGGTTTACCAGTCTTATGCCTCAGCATCACATGTCTACTTAAACAAAGGCACAGCCCAGCCCCAACCTAAACTAGAAATAATATTCTGCTACATTTGACTGACTATGTATAAGCCGTGCAAGCAAACGTTACTGTATGTGTTTATTGGACAGTTCTACACATACCATTACAATTTCACATCTTCTATACGCCGAAAATAGCATGAAAATTTATGACATTACAACATCTCTGCTATAATTAAACGAATGAATACTATCTTATTATACTTTGATTATTTACTACAGTGTACTCTAACTTAGCCTCTGGGCTAATAGTAGGCATAGCAGCATAGCTCAACATCCTTATTTACTAGAGCTATTTGCCAGACTGCTCCTGCCCTACAAGCTCAGATTTATGATCCGAGCTTTGCTTTTCTTGGCCTATCTATAGTTCTATACATGCTGGCCAGGACAGCTTATTGATAATTGCAGCCTTTAGTGATTTAAGATTTTTTAGATTGTAAGTGTTGATAACCAGCCAGCCTTAACCATATTTTATCCCCTTCTCGACTTTGTGATCATAGAGGCATCTGTTGGTGCCCAATTCTTTTTTGCTGTCATCAAATAGGCAGACAGTATCCAGCTAGGATTAAGACTTGATCAGTTAAGAAGCCTAAACCATGAGAGGATGAGTAAATATGTTGAGAGAATTAATTTTTAAAAGAGGTGCATAATTGACCTAAAATGTATTACATAAAACATAATAAAATATAGATGAGGATATCAAAGTAAAATATAATTGAAACTTTGGATATCAAAGTGTAAAAAAAAAAAAAGAAAAAAGAAGAAGATCTAAGCACATAAAAAGTTCATAAAAATGGATAAAATATGGGTACCAAAGTGAAAATAACCAGCACAATGACACCTCGTCGCTTCTTGTCCTCTCTCGAACCTAGAGGGCGCAACAAACTGAGGGAGCGGGGGTGAGACATACAAACCGCTCTCCTCGTCCCTCTTTCCTCCGCGCTGATCGCATCGGATCTCAGCCGCCGCAAAGATTTCTCTTTTTGGAACCGTAACATGCATCACTAGCTTCCTAACCCTAACCCAAAAGAAACCCCTAATCCCTTCCCTCACCCCCGATCAATCGATCCAAACCCTAACCCTAACCCTAACCCTAACTTCCCAATGGCGTCTGCTACCACTGCCGATTCCCCTCGATCGACGTCAATGTCGCGGCGGCGGCAGCCGATTCGCGCGGGAAAAGTCGGCCGTGGAACGTGCCATCTAATGGCGCGATCGAGGTGGGGCCCGTCATGGGCGCCGCCTCCTGGCCTGCGCTAACGGAGTCCACCAGGGCTTCGCCCAAATCGCCGCCCTCTGATTCGCTGAAATCGCTCTCCGATGGCCTAGTCCCTTCTTCTCCGGTGAGATCTCTTCATTAATCCGTTTTTTCTTGTTAAAAGTTTGAAGTCTAATTGAGATCACAAGATTTGATCCGAAAAAGTTTGGACCTTGGTTATATTCTGATGTCACAGGAGCCGTTAGTATCATCTCCTTCCGAAAAATCATCTCCAAACCCTAAAAGCCCTAATCAGATTCAAAACCCAATGCCTCCTTCCCGCCAGAAACCACTGAAAGTCGGCGAAAGAAGTAGCACTGTGACCCCGGCCAATGTTGGAGCCGGACCCACATTGCAGATTGCTCCTGAACATTCTCCTAGAGCCTCTAGGAGTGGTGGACCCACTCCACAACCTCGTGGTGGGGCCAATCATCATCGGGGCTTTGGTGGTAATAGGAGGGGGAATGCCGGTGGTGGGTCCCATAGCAACCATGGGAACTGGCACCATAGAAATGGCCAAGTGCACCGAGGAGGGATGAAGTCGTATCCGAGGCCGATGCAGCCTCTCTCTCCACCCTTTGCTGGTCCTCCTCCACCGTTTCAGCCTTTTGTTGGGAATGCCATGGGCTTCCCGGGTAAGTAAGTTGGCATACTTCTTTGGGTACTGATATTATCTCCTCATATATTGTGTTATTTCAATGTTGTACTGTTTGTTTTCAGAATACTTTGTGATGCCGCAGACGCCTCCATCTCTTGAGTCAGTTAGGGGCATGCCTTTTGTTTCGCATCCGATACCACATGCCATGTTTTTTCCGGCAATGGATCCGCAAAGTGCTATGTTATTGAAGCAGATAGATTATTATTTTAGGTTGATTTTTTGTGCGAGAACTGATAAATGATCGATCTGTTATTTGTTTTATTAAGTGTCTTTTTTAAATTTAAAAATGTAATTGTATTTTTGGTTGCAGTTCTGAAAACTTATGTAAAGATGTATACTTGCGGCAGAATATGGATGATGAGGGTTGGGTTCCTATATCCTTGATCGCTGGCTTCAACAAAGTGAGTTTTTTTGTTGGACTTTTTACGTTTGTGCTTGTACGAATTAATTTTATGATCTCTGTTTCGGCATGTTTTAGTTCATGGCAAGACAAATTCTTGGTGCAGTTACGGTGTTGTACGTTGTTTATTTAATTGGATTTCCAGCTTAACTTGTGGATTTCATATTTGATATTTGGTAATGGTACCTACATTTTGCAAACGTCTCTTGTCCAAGGTACACTTTTCTACATGAATGTAGCAGAAAATTATGCGAGATAACATCTGATATGGAACTACCTTGGGTTCCTCTGGTTTACCAGTCTTATGCCTCAGCATCACATGTCTACTTAAACAAAGGCACAGCCCAGCCCCAACCTAAACTAGAAATAATATTCTGCTACATTTGACTGACTATGTATAAGCCGTGCAAGCAAACGTTACTGTATGTGTTTATTGGACAGTTCTACACATACCATTACAATTTCACATCTTCTATACGCCGAAAATAGCATGAAAATTTATGACATTACAACATCTCTGCTATAATTAAACGAATGAATACTATCTTATTATACTTTGATTATTTACTACAGTGTACTCTAACTTAGCCTCTGGGCTAATAGTAGGCATAGCAGCATAGCTCAACATCCTTATTTACTAGAGCTATTTGCCAGACTGCTCCTGCCCTACAAGCTCAGATTTATGATCCGAGCTTTGCTTTTCTTGGCCTATCTATAGTTCTATACATGCTGGCCAGGACAGCTTATTGATAATTGCAGCCTTTAGTGATTTAAGATTTTTTAGATTGTAAGTGTTGATAACCAGCCAGCCTTAACCATATTTTATCCCCTTCTCGACTTTGTGATCATAGAGGCATCTGTTGGTGCCCAATTCTTTTTTGCTGTCATCAAATAGGCAGACAGTATCCAGCTAGGATTAAGACTTGAGCTTAACAAGCTGCAATTTAGATGATGTTCGTGTTCCTTCCCTTATCTAAATGAATTAGGTTTTTCTTTCCAAACTATTTCGAGGTTTCAATCTTAAGAAATTTTGGGCTTGTTGAGTGTTTTTCCTAAAATATTGCACTCATTTTGATAAGTAATTTGCAATCAACTAGTTGTTTTTATCCCACTACTTATTTCCAATAGAGAAAGAAAGGCCTAAAGCTATTTTAAGCTAGTAAAACACAGTGAGAAAAATGTGGCCTAATTGTAGACTTGAGAGCAAAAGAAAAGGCAACTGAATAGAGAACTTTGATTTTTTTTCAAGCTTTGCTCATTTAGTTATCAATGAATTTTAATAACTTTTTGCTAAGTGAACCTTAAACTTAGCCTCACGGTTCTCAAGTTTATAAGTAGATTGTCCTCTTAGTATGCACAAATAAGGGAAAGTATAATTTCTATGGGACCCTAATACCTTGACACTGTGCCTATTTTCAACACTTAAACCTTAAATACTTTAGTTGGCAACAAGTCACGTCAACTATATGTGTCAAATTTTTTTCTCTTGCTATATATTTTTCTGCCAAATCTATTTTTGATTAGATAGATTTGGATATAAAAAAATAATCTGTAGTTTCCTTCTTGCTGATTTGGCATACACCTTATGTTTTGTAATGTTGGTGCCTAGTGTGTGGTTATTTGCTTGTGCATGATACAAGTTGGTCTTGGTCCTACTTGTATGGAGCTACGTCTCATTTATTTCTTAGCTTACACATTCTGTAAAAGAATTGATTTTCCTTGTTGAACCTGTTGGTTAATATCCAATGCCTAAAGTAGGAAATGGAGGGAAATTGGAGCTGCAGTTCTTGGGTTTAAGTTTTTTTTTAAAGGAAAAGGATGGGGACTATGAATCCCCAACCATGTAGCATAAAAAATAAAGTTGGTTGCACATCAACAAGCTATGCTCCCAAATACCAAAGCCCAGGCACATAATATATGTTTTACATATTAGAAAGTTTATCCCCACACATCCCATATTTACAATAAAAGATTGTAATCAGAGTTTCAAAAGAGAGCAAAACACTTCATATTGTAACTGCATTCAAATATCACTCCACAAGCATGGGATTATGCTCAACATCATCAGCAGGTCCTTCATACACCACTAAGCTCATCTCTGAATTCCTCAGAGCTTCAGCATTTGCAATTGCTGCTTGTCTTTGGTTCCTCCTGCAATAAGCCCTCATTGGACGTGCACTGATAGAGCTATTTCCTAACCAAAATTCAGCAAAATGATTAGCTTGTGCTAGAACATCAAGAGCATGTTTGGATTTGTTCATAAAAACTCTATTATTCCTCTCATGCCATATGACCCAGAGGATAGCACAGCATATAAAGTTCTACTGAAGCCTTTGATTACCAAGAACAGATAATCTCCCAAAAGTCCATAGATTATCAAGATCATCAAAAACACCTATTAGAGATAATTTATGGAGATTGGAATCCCATATAGAAGTAACAAAAGAACATTTAATAAACATGGTCATGATTTTCAGTTTCAATACCAATCAAAGAACAAAGATAATCATTCATGGTTCCTTTAGTGGCTAAGTTATCTTCAGTATTTAGCTTTTGAGGACAAAGCTAGCCAACGGAAGACTTTAACTCTCAAAGGAATTTTAATTTTCCAAATATTCACACAGCTCCATCAATGAAAAAATGATAAGAGGATCTCACTGAGAAAACATGAGATTTCTCCCATCTCCAAGTTCTTGTATCTTCTCCCTCAAGGTTTTCAAGATTCTCAATCAAGTGTATCAGTTTCCAATGTGATAAAACAAGCCTCCCTGTTAACTATCTTTGAAAAGGAATTCTCCAAACCAAATGCCCATTTTCATAGTATCTTAAAGAAAAAACAGTGAACCATTGATCAATAACTAAATAAAAAAGATCAGGAAACTCAGCTAAAGAAACTTCACCTATCTATTTGTCTTTTCAAAACCAAGTTTTCTTCCCATTGCCCAATTTGACCTGAGTGCTGCAAATAAAGTACTCTCTTGTGTTCAAATGTGTTCCGAGAACTTAGAAAGATATCTATCAGGGCAAACACAATTCAGTTTATCTACATCAAAGTAATACTTATCACACAGAATATCTTTCCACAGCACTTGGTTATTATCTAACTACCTCCACAACCATTTCCCCAACAGGGCTAAGTTCATAATTTTTAAGTCCAACACACGTAAACTCCCCTGGTACTTAGGTTTGCAAACCTCTTCCCACTTCACCAAATTTGAAGCAATTTTGACAGAATCAAAACCAGTCCAAAAAACCTCCTCCTGATTTTATCAATCCTATTAGTAATCCACTGAGGAAATAAGTAAAAGGACATCCAAAATAGAGGCATTGAAGATAAAACAACATCCTGTAAGGTTAACCTTCCCCCTCTGGACAAGCCCCTCCCTTTTTCAAGTAGGAAGCCTCTTCTCAAATTTGTCAATAAGAGAGAACGAATCCTCTTTCAAGAGTTTCCCAGGTCTAAGCAAAAAACCCAGATAAGAAACTGGAAAAGAGCCTTCTTTACAATTCATAGCACTGGGAATTTGTTTCTGAAGCTCACAATCATTCTCCAAAAGAATGACTTAGCTTTTTTGAAAGTTTATTTTAAGACCAGAAAGAAGTTCATAGCCATAAAGCAACAATTTAAGAACAGGCAAACTCTTATCATTCACCTTGTAGAAAATGAGTGTATCATCAGCATACTGCAAATTTAGAACTCTAGTAGAGGATCTTCTAGTTCCTAATCCTTGAATAAGCATCATCAGAAGCTAACTTTGTCTTCCGAGAAAAGGCATCAGCAGCTAAAACACAAAGAAGAGGAGACAAAGGGTTTCCTTGTCTAACTCCTCTTTTGGAGACTATCTATCTACTAGGAGTGCCATTGAGAACAATGGCAGACTTTCCTCCAGATAGAATAGCTCTAATCCATCGAAGCCATCTAGGACCAAAACCCTTGGCTTTCAACACTTTTAAGATAAATTCCAGTCCAAGAGATCATAAGCTTTTGTAAAATCAAGCTTAAGTTTGATGCCCCCTCTTTCCTTTCTTTGAAAACACTCAGCGATAATCTCCTGAGCAGTCACTACCCCATCCATAAGAAATCTACCCTTTATAAATCCTGCTTGAACAGGATCAGTAAGACTGCTCAATTTCTCATTCAACCTCCTAGTAAGCACTTTTGTAATGATCTTATACAGTACATTCAAAAGGCTAGTAGGTCTAAAGTCACCTAGACTTTCATAATCCTTTTTTTGGAATCAACACAATATGAGCATAATTAAGTTGAGCAATTTCTAAAGTGCCATGTTAGAATGCAATAAAAAGCCTCAAAAGATCATATTGAACTACATCCCAAAATTCTTGAAAGAAGCCCAGGTGATTTATCACCATTCATGGAGAAAGAAAACAGCCTACGTAATTTCTGTAATAGGATGTCCTAAAGAATCAGAATCCCACACAGAATTTGGGAACTTTTCCCAATCTACCCTAATTCTCTCATCAATTTGTAATAGGTTCAGGTTAACCGAAAACCTATAGGGACAGGCATCACCGAAAGAAGAAATTTCCTACCTTAACCCTCTATCCATGCATGTTTCATCCAGCCATCACCCTGAAGTGCTTCAGTTGTGTTCCTACTACTACGTGGCATCACATATAGGTCATTTAGAAATGGCCATCCAATTTTCTTCAACCATTGTGCTATTCCCGATCCTTTCAAGTGATTTTCCCTTAGGTTCTCGATTGAAAACCTTTTGGCTTGTCCATAATGGCAGTCCTCTGACCTCTTATGAGTTCAACCATTATATTGCTCGTCTAGCTCAACATGCTTAATACTGGTAGGCTTGTTTTCCGGATGTCATATTACTTAGTTGCCTACATTTTTGCCATAAAGGAACATAGATTGTCTGGCTTTCTTAATTTCTTAATGTATTTCCTTCATCTTTGTACGTGTAAATTTTTTCTTAAACTTCAGATGTAATTTGGAGTCACACGATAGTCTAGACCTTCCCAATTTTGCTGGCATGCTATGGTCATGTAGATTGTAATTAGTCCAAGATTATTGTAAACTTGTATCAGAACTTTTTGATCAATTTATTTTGATGCTTGAATAATTTAGCACTTGTCATTTGTCATCACAGATACAAATGAAGGCATCCTGTTCATCGGGATTTTGTTTTTGGTCTTGCTTATTTTCAACTTATTCATATCGTGCCTGTGCGTGCATTCGTGCGTGCGTACTTGCGTGCACATGTGTGTCATTAGGCCTGTCCATTTGGGCCAGCCCGACCCGAAAATTCGGGTCCGGGCCGGACAAAATGGGTGACCCTAACCTAGTGGGCCCTGGGCCCGAACGAGCCGGACACCTGACCGGCCCTGTTATTTGCCCTTTTCTAAATTTGCGTAGAAATATCTATTTTAGGCTATTTGGGCAGGCTGAACCAGGCCGGATCCGGGCTGGGACCCACCCGGTTCAGTGGTAAGAATTTTGACCTTTGGACCGGGCCGGGTTTGGGCCGCCTAGTCCAACGGTTGGTTTTTTGACCGTTTGAAATGGGCTTGGTCTGAGCCAAATCTGGACCCGTGTACTCCAGCCAGACCATTTTCCGAGCCGGACCTGGCCCAGTGCGGGTTGCACCAAGCCGACTTAGACTCAGGCCCAGAGCCCGGTTCTGGCTTGGAAACCCGGGTTTTCCCGGGACCGGGCCAGGCGCTAGCCCGATCGGGTCCGGTCTGGGCCTTGGGCCCGAATGGACTGGCCTATGTGTCATGTACTCTCTGTGCAATAATTTGACTGTTGTTCAATATCATAATGATCTAAATTTAATGCGTTTTTTTGCAATTGAAGGACTTGTGTGGTATCAGGCTTTCTTGAATTACTATCTTCATATGACATTCTTTCGATTTCATTATGAACTAAAGTAACAAACTACTGACTATGTAAAGGAATTGGTTTATTCTTGTTACTTTAAATGGATATGCAGTGTGCATTTGTCTGAGGGAATAGTGTATGTTCAAACCATGTATTATATGATCATATGGTGACAAATAAACTATGTGTGAACTTTTAAGTGATTCTTTAAAAATCATAGCTCCTTTGCATCCTCATTATATTGGGTTGTACTGAACTCCCTCCAACTATATATGAAAATCATATATGTTTATCTACATGCAATATTATTGTTATGGATAGTTTCTATCTCTTGTATAACTTCTATGATTATTATGTCAGCATGTGTTTCTTTCCTCTTGTCATGGGACAATGTTATCTCTTATTCTGAACAGGATCAAGGTATATTTCGATAAATTTTCGGTAGCTAGTAACTCATATTATATGTATTGCTTTTGAGACCTTACAGTCTCAGGCTCATTTTGATGTTCGACATGTGACCCGTAGACAATATCCAATCATCAAACTGCATTCATCAAGTTAAAAGAAAGAGTACCTTAAGAAGAGTAATTTTATGTTACTTTTTGTATTTTATAATTTTATTTACTTGTTCGGTGCGTTCAGACATTAGGCATTGTATACACATTTTTTTATAAAGTTACCATATCATATAGCTGACGATTTCGGCGTGAAAGTTTAGTACTCAGCGTGCATTTACATGTTTTTAAATTGCATGATAAATACTATGATTTCAGTCGGCTTAGAGCTAAATATCATTTCTTATGGCTAATGCAGATCCTTTTTTACTGAGCATGCTAACCATCAATTGATGTCGTGTTTCTCTTTCTTATATGTAACCCACAGTCTAGTCACAAATATATGCTGTAAACCAATTCGCATAGGCAAGCTGGTTTCATTTTCTTTTTTCAGTTTATTTTGATCTAGTGTTGTCTGGTCTTCTGATGTTAGGTTCTTTGTACCTTTTCAACTAGTTTGTGATTGTTTTGTCCATGTTGGTAAATGCTTCGTAAAGATATAGACTAGTATAGACACTTAATTATCTTTAAACTTACCAGGTATGGCACTTATTAACTTTAAATTGACCAGTATCCATCTTTGTCTTGTACCTACAAGAAGCGAAACACTGAGATTCTGTAAAAGCCAGACACTAAAGAGGGGTTCTTTGCCTATCATTTCATTTTTTTATATATGCGCACTTCCTATTTCCTTGATCCCCAGTAATGATATCGTTGTACTAGGATATAGAGAATTGTTTAGGACAAAATCTTCGACGTGCATGAAGTTAACTTGCCTTCATTTTATCTTTGTAAAACTACCAATATTTTATACACCCCATATTCTTTGCTAGACTTCTATGAGATCACTACATGCTAGTGTTTTCAGAATTATTTTATTATAACCATGAGCCTGAAGTAGTGTACTCTTAAAAAAAGGCAGTTCTTATGAGATAAAAACCTAGTCAAGGGGCCTTCATAAACAAAAGTCGGTATCTTTGTGAAGGAAAGGAAGGAATTGCCCTTGATTTTATCCATCATTTTGGGATCAATCATAACCTAGTCTTTCTATATATGGAAGCACATTTTAATTTCTGCTGGTGTATGGAAAACTTTCTAGTGTGGCAATTTCATTTTAATACACGCATATGGCATCTGGGAAGGTTAATGACTGGATTTGTGTTTGTGTATGAAAATTGTGAGCTAGTACCTTTCTGTTTTATTTCTATCATTTACTATTGAAGTATATTCTTCTTCTTCTTCTTGTGCAGGTGAAGCAATTAACTAACAACATACAATATATACTAGATACTGTGCGGTTGTCAACACTGGTGGAAGTACATGTAAGCATCTTTTAATTGGTTTTTTCCCTTTTATCTTTTTAGCCTTTTTTGTATCGTCTATTGCGGGTTGAAGATTGCGTGAGGATGACCCCTAATATTTCTTTTCTTTATTACTGTGCTTATTTGCAGGATGATAAAATTAGGAGACGCACCGATTGGAAAAACTGGTTGCTGGTTCCACCTTCGAGTTCTCATGGTTCCCCATCTGGTAAAAGTGATGATGATGTGGCTAAACACCTACAGAATGTCACTCTAGAGGGCAATTCCACTACCCACAATACGAGAGGAACAACAATTCATGCAGATAATATATTTCTTACGAGGTCAGCATCTGGAAACCTCAACAACCAATTTTATCCGAGCAGTGATGGGAGTGGCAGTGACGAGAGTGGGCAGTTCAGTGGGTTCACTCTTTCAGAGAAATCGGCTTCTTCTAGAAGCTTAACAAGGAGTGATACTTTATAAGAGCGGTGAGTGTTGCATCACTCTTCTGTCGGACAAATTTGGCATCAGCTAAGTTCTGAGAAAATTATATGTATATGATTTGAGTTCAATGGTGAAGTTTGTATAGTTTGGACGAGGGACCTTGTTAATGCGGTCATAGAGGGTGTTATTGCACTGTTTTTTAACTCTCTCGAACCTCCAATTTTTGGGAGGGTCATGAAATCTAGAATTATATGAAAACTTGATTACCTTTTTATGTTTTTGGGTGCACTTCTAATATTACTGGATTTGTCTACCTTTTTAGGTATTGAGTTACATGTGTGCAGATTATTTGGAAATGCAGCTGTTCGTACCTTTACCAAATGGCATGATATTTATGTCCTAGCTGCTTTATTATTTGGTTGGATTTTTTTTTTTGAATAATGCTAATTGTTGCTTTGTAACTGCTCAATGCTGTTATTGCAAGTTCTCATGTTAGTATTGCGTCCGAACTCCAAATTAGTCTATGAAAAGCAAAATATGTTGTATAGGCATGACTTGGATTCTCAGGAAGTATCATTATTTCGTGTCCAGTATGTCATGGGATGGGTATCTTCATGAATAGATGAGCGAATGTGAGGATTCTATATTCTGGTGGCTTCTACTGTTCTAGATGTTTTTCTTACCATGCTCACGTGATGTAGCACTTAGTGCAACAAATCATTTGGCTCAATCCAAATTGGTTAGCCAACCGTTGCAATTGAATCCCTTTGCTTACTGTGTAAACTTTTTATAATTGTACTCATTTTCCTATGTCGGACTTCATTTTAGGGTGTCACGATTGCTCAATTCCAACAAACTATTGCTATGAGATTTCTCTTTCCATTTTATTCAATTGGTTGAGATTAAGGGGCTGTTTGGTTCGCTATTATAAGGGGTGGAAAACTTAGAAAACTCCTCCACGTCAGATTTTTAGCCCTCCACGTCAGCTTTTTTGTTTCCGTCCATTTCTTTGTGCCGCTTTGGTTCGCTCGAATAGAAGAGGGAAAACTCTGCTGAAATTGTCACCAACTAAGATTTTTTTCCCTCTCCGATTTCCTTCCCCAACCAAGTGAAATTGATGAAAACTCTGCCACGTCAGATTTTTTTTCCTTCTCTGCTTTGTTTACAAAAGTTTTCTTTTTTTTTCTATGCGAACCAAACACAAGAAAAATAAATGGTTTCTCACTATTTTTTATGTGCGAACCAAAGCAAAACAATCTATTTCTTGAAAAAGTTTGGAAAACTCAAAACTTGTGTTTCTTTACATGGAATTGCATTTCTCTATATCAAGGAAACGAACCAAACAGCCCCTAAGCTACATATTGTCATATGAGAGAATGTCCACAAGTGATGAAAGTACTCATTGTTCTCAAAATGAGTTACTGAGAAATAAACTACCAGTATTAAAATCAAACACGTTAATCTTAAAATGAGTTACTGAGAGAGAAACTACAAATCGTAAAATTAATTCTATTAGTCACACGGGATGATGTGAATCTAATCACATCTATATTTTAGTAGTTCATTTTGCTAAATAAATCGTTGCTCATATCCAATATCCCTTCTAAATAATTTTACAACACAAAAAATTATGTAACAATTTTTTTTTAGAATTTGAGAATGTTATGTGAAATAAATGCTTAATTCTACATGTAGCCTTTTGAGATCAACAATGAAAGAAAGAACTATTAATCATGGATTTCAGATATAATCTCAAGAAATAAAATTGCAGCCCCCTCGCGTGGTGTTGTGTGTGCGCGTGTGGTGGTTGGGGGGTTTGATTTCTGCTGAATGGACTACTCAGCCCTTTAAGAACTGACAGTTGTCATTCTGGAGACAAGACTTGCCTACTGACCGAAGATTTTGATTCTTCTTCACATTTATGCCGTCATTTTCACAGTCTATATAAGCACACATGCGATCAAGAATAGAAAAATAACTCCACAGTTTAAGCCCGTGCGCGGCCGTATATAGCAAACTTCGCCTCTCTCATGTACATACGTACGTTTACATTAGCAGTTATGCACACTTTCTCATGTTAAATATCCCTTTAAGTGTTTGGAATTTAATTATGCAAAATCTTTTTTTGACAGCCGATCTGAGCGCACACCATGCTCGATCAACTTGCCGCAGAAATAGTTGTGTCTAGCTATCAAAACAATTGTGCCGCAATTGTTGCGTACAAACTTACATTTTCAGGGCGAGCTACTTTATGATGTACAGGTTTGTTACTTGTATAATACACTAAAATTAGGGCAAATGGCACTTAAATACCCTATTATTTCATCATCTTTACACTTAATTACTCTAGTTATAACAAGTAACACTTTGATACCATAAGTTGTAAAAAAAAAAATACTTTAATATCCTAGGTTATAAAAAACTGACACTTATATATTTTATTGTTTCATCATTTTTACATTTAAATATTCTAAATTGTAAAAAGTAGCATTTTAATGTCCTAAGTTGCAAGGAAGTAGCACTCTAATACTTTTTGTTAGTTGTCAAGATAATTTCCTAAGAATATTCTCATAAAAACTTACAAAAGGTTCTAAACAAGCCAATTTTTTACAACTTAGGATATTAAAGTGCTACATTTTACAACTTAGGGTATTTAAGTGTAAACGTGATGGAAAAAGGGTATTTAAGTGTCATTTAGCCCTGAATTTAATTTGATAGATAGTTCTCTGGGTATATGAGTTCCAATATAATGTTCTACACTCAAGTTTCGAAATTGATATTAACTATCTACAACATTAACTTGAGCAACAAAAGAGTATTTACTCGGGACCCCGTCCTCTCAACGCTCTTCCTTATGTATGAGTGCGGGGTAGGGCTGTCCATCCGCGCCCGGCCCCGGCCCGGCCCCGGCCTGGAAAATCGGGCCTGGGCTGGGCAAAACCGGAGCATGAACCTGGGCTCGGTTGCCCCGGGCCCAGGCCTGAGCGGGCCGGGCCCGAGCTGGCTCGGATTTTTTTAATTTTTTTAAAAATATCTTTAAATTTTGAAATATACATAAAAAATTATAGAAAGTGCTAATAAAAAACAATCATATTATTAATAACTTGAAATGACATAGATTACATATACAAAAAATTATAAAAATGAAAGATGATAAAAATAATTTTTTTTATTAATAATCAGTAAATCCTTTACCAGTATAAATTTTCGCTGGATCACAATAGATGAGTACATCCCAACTAGGGTGACACCTACTCACCTATATCACTATCATTTGCAACTGTTTCCAAAATAATTCATTACAAATTTAAAACTAAGAAATAAAAATTACAATTTGATGAATATTGTTTAATCTTTATATCTATCTACTAGTCTCAACTCTTAAAATTTATCTTCAATTCTAGTAATCCGATCGATGCCTTGCGTCACTTCTCGTACCTCCACCAATCTTGTAAGCACATCACCGCTTGTACAGTATACGGATCTAAGCATGTCCTGTGGTCGTCAATCAAACGTCCTGCTATGCTTAAGGTGGATTTCAAAGCTACCGTCGAAACCTGCACTGTTAGTAAGTCACAAACCATGGTGGAAAGTATATGATATGAAACTGATCCATATACTCTCCATCATTGCAAAATATCTAAAGCATTTCCTTGACATTTAACTAAAGAAGCAGATAAATATTCAACTATTTCAGAAACCTCTAATGATGATCCAAGTCTAGTTCCACCAATTAGCTCAGCTACCATTACATACCTATCAAAACTTACACTTTTACCTCGGCTTGAGCTCGAAGGCGTCGAAATTGTAGATTGTTGTGTAGCTACACCATGTCTAGCTGCATACTCATCATATAAGGTTTGAAAATAATTTCTAATAGCTAAATGATGAGAAGTAGCAGTAAGGGTGAATCCATCATCTAAGTCTATAATCTGTCCACCATACAATGATTGTAACAAACTTCGAAGGCCAATATCCTTCAAACATGGATCAATAAGAACCCCAAACCAAAAATATGAGGAATATATGGATCAATAAGAACCCCAAACCAAAAATATGAGGAATATGCCTAAAATACTTATTAAATTTGCTCTCAATTTAAAAAAGTATAGCTCCAAAAGTATCATTCATACGATATTTGGAAAATTTTTTTTGAATACTTAAAATTTGTAAAGCAGCTAAAGTAATAGTTGGATAATAACAACCAGATAATAACATTGTAGCATCATTAAAAACTTATAACATCTCATTTAAATTACATATAATTATCCATTCATCTTCAGTTATTCCATAAGTGCTACCAGAGCTAATATAATTATCCATTCATCTTCAGTTATTCCATAAGTGCTACCAGAGCTAGAACTAGAAGCATAATAATTTATAAAATTCATAAGTGCTACCAGAGCTAGAACTAGAAGCATAATAATTTATAAAATTATTTATAATTTCTTTATATTATAGTGCCACACTTAACATTACATAGGTAGAATTCCACCTATGATCAACATCTTTTGGAATTAGTCCGGGCTTATAATTTTTTTATACAAAATTATTTCTATCTTTTAAGTCTTTGTTCAGAAGCATTATGAATATAAGCAACTGTTCTAATATTTTCTATCATGGGTTTAATTTCAGTAAATGCACTTTGAACAATTAAATTTAAAACATGACAGATACATCTAATATGAAAAGATCACCATGACATGGTAATGACAGAGTTGTTTTGATAAATTTAACAGCTATATTATTATTACTTGCATTATCTACTGAAAGAGAAAATATTCTTTGATCAATTTCTAGTTTCATAAGTTCTTCAATTATTAAATTTACAACAATAGTACCCGTATGTGACTTTTCAATTGTAATAAAGGAAACAACTCTTTTAAAATTTACTAATTTTTATCAATCTAGTATGCTGTGATACATAAATAACCAGCTTGTGCTCTAGATGTCCAAGTATCAAAAGTTAAAGAAAATTTACAGTTTAAAATTTTAAAATAAGAAATTATTTTTCCTTGTTCTGTTTGATAATGTTTTAAAATATCATGTTGATAGGTTTGACGATAATTTTTTTTAAAAAATCGGGTTAAAAACTATCTCTAAACATTTTTTTTAAAAATCGGGTTAAAAACTATCTCTAAACATATCTTCAAATACATCATCTTCTACTAATTTAAAAGAAATATTTTTAAGAATGATAAACCTGATAACGCATTTCCTGGCTCGGGTAGCGTTATAATTCTAACTACCGAGACTACCAGAAGAGAAGGATTGGA